TATACTACGTAGTATGTGATTTTGGTACTGTGAACGCTATTAATGGCTGTATGTGTTGCATTATACTTCGAAGTACTTCGAAGTATATTATTAATACTAGAACAATTGGTATTTATCTCACTGATACCACACATAACGTTACCATTATTATTTTGTGAATTGTGTGTACCGCATCGGTAGCTCCATTACCGGTACCAGCAATGCCATTTGAAGTGACCCCTGGAAGAATGAGCAGAAGATTAATTGGATTTTATTCTGACAGTGAAGTTTGAAGTATTTATTATACCTGTACTGTAGCTGTGAGTACTTAGTGCATTAGTATTAACTCTTTGTGGCAATATTGCTCGCTGGGATACTGATTCATATATTTTGATTTACCCTGAAGAGGAAAACGCAAAGAATGACATGGAATGACCCCAATTTCGACAATTCCTCTTCTATTCTAATTGAAGTTCGTTTCCTTGAAACAACCCCGCAGAATAATAGTTGGATTCTACATTAAATAATATTCATATTATTTTCTTGGTGTACTACTTGGTAGTGAGAGAATATGGATGTTCCCACAATTTTGGACGAGATTCATTGGTGCAACAATAGTTGCTACAATTTTGGATGAGATTTATCAAGCCTTGGATAGCAAGAGAACTATGACCATTCTTTGCTAGTCTAGCGTCGAAAACTGTTGTTTCGTAAGCTTCTCTGACCAACACGACAATGCAGACTTACCACATCGGTGGATGCACAGGATTCGTGGCGGGTCGGCAGCGGGTCCGCGTCAGGTGGACGGTTGGTAGATAGCACAGCTGACGCTATGATATACTTGAGCACTATAATCTCATCAAAGTATTATGATCAAAGACATCGCTGCGCCCATCTGGCTTGTGCAGCATACCAGCGCCTCTTGGCCCCACCATCGGTAGTGGACTTGATAAGATGTGCAAGGAATAAGACGCCATGCGTTGTACAGTTAACAGTAAGGGGAAGTTCCAAGTAGTTTTCAGAAATAGCATGAGCCAATCAAAATTAATTTACCCATTTTTTTTCACGATTTAGAAAATGAAGTCGAGGACCTGTTTTTCTACGTTTGGTATACTGTAGTGGGTTGCGTAAAATATCGCAGAAACAGAGGTAAAAAAGTAGGAAACTGTAGTGTGAATTCGCTATATATTACCGAAAAATTCGCGTTGTTTTCTAATGAATGTCGAATCACGCACGCTGGAATTTCTGATTGGCTGACTATACATGTCCTTTCAGTAAGAGCCAATCAAATCCACTCAAAAATGGATTAGCCAATAGCGTCGATTCGTGATTCGATTCGGCGGCGAGATTCGATTCGACGGGGTCTGGAAAATCGTACCGAATCCACAATACTTGGGGCCACTACTTCATTTGCTAAAAATATCTACTTGGAACAAGTTAAGTACGCCTAGTACTAAGTTTTACTCACATAATGTCGAAGTTTTGCTCAGATACTCACATGTTGGCGATTGATTACCCAGAAACTCCCTCATTTCGGAAATGCTTGCTTGTATGCTTGTCTACGGAATAACATCGTTTTTCCTCAGTAACATACATATTTCCTGTATATCTGCCTCCAACGGTGAAAATGGCATTTTATTGAAAGTCCTGGCGTTTTTGACTTGGTGACCCAGTATCTGTACGTGGCGGTCGTGCAAATTCCAATTACAATACATTCTTACAGAGTCATTTGGCCCGACGTCCTGGGAAAACAACACGCGTCATTCAACCAATATATCGTTTTTTCTATGATTCTTACGAATACACAATGCTACATGTTTTCGTATATATCAAACCCTATTCCCACAACAAGCACTTCTTGGACGGGTTCAAGGTCGAGTTGGTGGGGCATTGGAACACACGGGCAAACTCATCGTTGTTTTGCAACGCCCCCTTCACGCGGAATCGATTGGGCGGGTGCGAGTTCGACAAATGCTTTGTGAGGCGGGCATCCGTGTTCTTGGAGCACCACGATTGGGCGTACGACAAGTAAAACAACTTGTCGCCAGCTTCTTCAGTGTACTGCGACGGGAACTTCTTCAAGTACTCGTGGTACGCACGGAAACTGATCTTGAGCCCCCCGTTGTCGGCAATGTTTTCACGCAAAGTGAGGCTGCCGCTGACGTTGCCCAACACATCGCCAGTAACTTCGCTCTCGACGACAAACTTGGCGTACTGGTCGCTGATGCACTGGGCCTTCTTGGTGAACGCAGTATCGGTGGCATCCGACCACCACGAGTTCATCGCTCCGACACCGTCGAAGTAGCGGCCGAGGCTGTCGAACCCGTGGGTAATTTCGTGTCCGATGACCACCCCGATGGCACCAAAATTCTGGGCGGCGTCGAACTGGCTGTCAAAGTACGGGTTTTGAAAAATGCCGGCCGGGAACACCATTTGGTTCAATGGGGGGCTGTAGTACGCGTTCACCCAATGGGGGGACATGTCGAACTTTTGTCTGTCCACAGGTTGGCCGTTCAGCTTCAATTTCGTGTCGAAGTTCACTTGTGATACCTTCCACCGGTTGTTCAAATACGTCTTTGAGTCAAACGTCAGCGTAGGGTACAGCTGGGGCTTCTTCGGGCCCCCCAACACGTGCACAAACTTGGACAGCTTGGCTTGCGCGTTGGTGCGGGTCGAATTGTCCAACCAGTCGGCGGTTGTAATGCCAGTGGAGAAGGACGACCTCAAGGCCTTGACCAGTTCGTCGGCCGTATTGGCCGTGTCAGCCGACCACGCCGCGTCTAAGAAGTACTTGCCCAAGATTTCACCAACAGTGGCAACTGTTTGAGACACGCAGAACTGTTCACGAGTAGGTTCCACCTCTTCGCCACGAATCTTCTTGCCGAACAAGTTCCAGTTGGCCGTGCGGAATTCAGGGGTCAGGTGGGTGGACGAGGTGTGGATGAGCTTGTACTCCACGATGGTGCGGAGGGTGTCCAACGTCGTGTTCTTTAAGAACGCTTCAGCCTTGTCAAAGTAGGTCAAATCGAGAAACCGCACCAAGTCGTTCGACCCACCGAACTGGTCGTGGACGTTGAAGCCGTTGGCCTTGAGCCACGAGCCGATCATCAGCGGGTATTTCTGGTCGAGTTCGTAAAACGTGAGCGCAGTGTACGAAGACTCGGCGACCTCCATCTCTTTGAGCTTTCTGAGGGTGACACCCGAAAAAGTTTTTTCGAAGCGGATGATCACCGGCACGGCAGCCGCCACTTGTTCGGCAGTGTAGCCAGCCAACTGCAACACCGACGCAATGTACACCTTGTAGTCGGCTACGATGGTAGCCCACTTAGAAGGAATGGTGTAATACGAGCGAGACAGCGGCTGGTAGACTTGGTCACCGAAGAAATAGTTCTTGGTCGAGTCTTCGTCGTCACCTGTCACGTCGATGTCGAGAAAGGCTGGGATGCCATTCTTAGCTAATTCACCAGCCACGATGAGGAGATCCAACGAGGTATTGGCCGACCGAATGGCTTTGAACGAGTCGGCCAACGGAGTCACGCCGAGCGACGAGAGCGTAGCCGTGTCCAAACAGGAGTTGTAAAACTCTCCAAGCTTGGGTTTGTTTTCAGACAAAATCTTCTCCACCACGGCTTCGTTATGGTTGGAGATCTTGGAGATCACTATATCGGTTTTGGTTTTGCCTGGGGGGATGACAGCATCATTGTACCACGCGCCACACGCATATTGGTAAAAGTCGTCGCAGGGGTTTGCGGAGTAGTCTATGTGCTTGGTCACAGACTCGGGGAGGTCCGTGATGGAGCCAGCCGAAACGGCAGCGGCCAACGCGCTGAGGGCGATCAGGACTTTGACCATAGTAGAAATGTGGAGTTGCCAGTGAAACCAAACCAGGCGGGCAAGTCGTTCAACCCAACCAACTGGATTGGACCAAGGTGCATCCACCAATCCATCTCCATGAGAAATTGCAGTCGAGCATGTGGAATTTGAACACGTTAACTGTAAAGGAGTAAAACTCACAGGTTACTTATACAGTATACGAGTAGGACAGTAGTACTCCGGAGTGAAAGATCATCTCAGTTTTTGTGAGATGATCATTTGGACGTGGCACGGACCATTTTAACGGGTTGTCATTAGTAGTATCACTATAGTAGTACTAGTGAAAAAAGCGATGACGTCTCAGGGACTCGAACTCGTTCACCTTGGACTCGACAGTCGAACACGCAAATAACGCCACTTAAAGTCATTAATAGTACTAGTACTTCGAAGTAGTTATTACCAAAAGGCCTGCCCCCTAACCACCTATATGGGGAATAATTCCCTCATTTAAACAGTTCCACTGTTGTTTTGACCCGAAATACTGTTTGAATGAGGGAATTATTACATCCGGATACACCTTTTCGCCAGTAGCCCTGTACTCCGTCCTACCCCCGGTGAGTAGATACGATGCTAAATCTCCGGGGTTAACTGCATCGCTAGTGGTTAGCTTTCGCTAACCACTGAGATGCACTTAACCCCTAGTAAGAGGTGAAGTGGTCTGAGCATACTAAGTTCCATATAAATCTCATTGAAACAGTATTTCGAGTAAAAAAACAGTGGAACTGTTTTAATGAGAATTGTACGCCTATTTAGACTACAACTTCTGGCAAGAGTATACGTACAACTGCAACCATGCATACTACAATATACTACTAGTAGTATGTAGTATTACTTGGTCTGGTACATATACACAGTACAGTAGTACTATACACAGTACAGTAGTACTAGTACACTCTGGTAGTATATCAGGATCAGTTTGATCCAACCTGTTACATATGCTTACGTACTTAGGAATAAAGTCATAACACCCTGTTCTGCCATGAACATCACAGGGGAGGGAAAATAGCTCAGCGGCAGAGCATCGGTTCCTTGACTCAAAGGTCGTGGGTTCGATCCCCGGCTTCCCCGGATTATTTCCGCAAGGATTTATCCGTCCCTTCCCTGGAGAATCCGGATAACTAGGGAGACAAAGAGCGAACTTCAGTCGAAGCACGAGGTGCAGTACGAAGCGTTGAGCGAAGTAAAAACCGAAGATTACACACCGCCCCTGCTCGAGCAGCCGCGTTGACTACAATTGGCGAAGCGGTTCCACAACATGTGGTTCTAGTATCGGCCCTCGCAGAGGAATGTCTTAATAATGATACAGTAATCCAAACTCAATTAATCATGAACATCACAGCTGCCCTGATGGGGCAGGTAGCAGGATCAGTGTTCCCCTTTGGTTCTGCACCCTTCCACTAATAATTCCCTGCGAGCCAGAGTTCCGCTGTTGAATACGTAATCATTTCCCTTCAAACCAACCAGTATGTACCCTAACCTCGGAACCCTTTACCGGTAATAAGAACAAGTGAAATGGGAATTCCTGTCCAGCAACGAGGTACTAACTTAGTACAGTATGGGCTAAACTGTAAAAACATGAATGAACAGGAACATGAAACTGAGAATGAATATGGTGCACATCAACTATTAATACTACTATTAATACCGGTAGTACTAGTAATATATTATATCCTTCCAGCGAATTCAGATATAGGAGGTTCTGCCAAGGTAGGTTAAAGTATGTCTTTTAAGGGTACAATTCCCTCATTAAAGCAGTTCCACTGTTGTTTCAATGAGGTTCATATGGACTTTGTATGCTTAGACCACCTCACCTCTTACTAGGGGTTAAGTGCATCTCAGTAGTTACCTATCGCTAATCACTGGCGATGCAGTTAACCCCGGAGATTTAGCATCGTATGTACCCCCCGTGAGTGTATCCGGATGTAATTATTCTCTCATTGAAACAGTATTTCGGGTCAAAACAACAGTGCAACTGTTTTAAAAACTGTTAATGAGGGAATTATTCCTTTTACGGATACAATGTACGGATACAAGTTATATACTAACGTTATTAAAAAAATAACATCAAGGTAGTCTTCGTGGCCAAAATCTACCCTACATTGCCCCTATACAAAAAATCACTTGGTTTAAAGTCTATTACTCGACCAATTATTTGCCAAATTTGATATTGAGACGTAATATCCCTTCACCACGACGAGATCTGTCGAAACTACGTCTGGTTTTACTTTTGAGAAATGAATAGCTGCCAGACGGTTTTATGAAATGTTGGAAGTTTCTAGGTGACATGCACCATACCAACAAGAAAGTACTACTGTACCTAGTAAGAGCCTGTTCCGAGTAAAATCTCAGACGGGGTACAAATGGGGATGCGATATTTTTTCATCTCGTTCGAGGTTGCGACACAGCCATAGCTAATGATCTAATTGGCTAATAATATAAGCCAACCATTCCACACCAAATCACGTCCAGTAACACCACCACTGAATCCACATTCAGTGGTGGCAACAAAAGTCACCAAATGACCAAGAAGAACTCGACCAAGGCCGAGCTTCTTGCACACATCCAAGCACTCGAACATCGTGTGGCCGGATCATCTTCGGGGATGGGCAATGCAGTAGACAACCTCGCTCATAGGAAGCGCACCCCTGTCGAATACACGGACTCTATGGTGATCGCGTTGCTAGAGCTTCGCTTCAATGCTTACAGCAACGCGTTCAACGGCAGCAGATCGGCAAAGCAACTCAACTTGCTCTGGGAAAAATTGACTGTGCAGTTCAACATCGCAACGAACCAAATCATCAATGTAAACTACTATTATTTACGAATGTTGCATTAATATCGATCGATTAAGAACAAGCTGCGAAAGCTTCGTGCAGAGTTTATGGTTGTCCAATGCGCCTTGGTCCAGACCGGCAACGTCACACCAGTGCCCGAGCCTTCGTATTACGCAGAGATGCTAACGGCATATTGCAAGCTTGCAAGGACTTGGCTACATTGAGTTCGGGATGGTGTGTACCCTTGGTTGATGATGGGGACGGTGCAGCTTGTGGTGCTGAATCTCAGTCCAACAATGATGAGTATACAGTACCAGAAGCCAAAAAACGGAAGGCAGAAGTCGTCATGGAGTTGAAGCTGCAACGCCAAGGCCGCAAGAACGCTCAAACTGACATCAGCCAGGGTCTGGAGAAGTTTGGCAATACCCTCGGTGCCGCAATTGTTCAGGCAGCCAATAACCCGACATGGCTGCGCAAATGGCTAAACGTTTGGAAGTTGCTGAAAGCACGAAGGCCAGCATCGATAGTTCCAACCAAGTTCAAATGAAACTTCTAGCTTTTCTGGAAACTAAGTTCTAATGCATGCGTAATTCCTCGCATATGTGGTTTGAATTAGTGATATGGATATAGATATATACGTATACGGTCCTTAGTAGGGACATCACGGTACGAGTGCAGATGAAAAAAGTGTTTTACTAAGATCACTACAATGAAGCATAGAGATGGTTTTTAATTGTGTCTCGAGCGCGCTCCGCTGCAGCACCATCTACTTGGAATAACTCGTCATCATCTACAATGTCACCGCCGATATGCATCCACCTGGGATACGTCTCAGGTTGTGTTGGAGCCACAGCCTCGTTGTCGTAGTCAATGTACCAATTATGCAAGACCAACGTAACTTCAATCAATCTTGCCATGTCGCGGGGGCAGTGGTGTAACAATTCGTGCTTGAAAATGCGAAATTTGTTTTTCCACCGGCCAAAAGCGCGCTCAACAACCATGCGGCTACGGCTGTGGACCCAGTTATAGTTGGCTTCGTCTGGAGCCATGCTCGAGACGATCGAATACGGGGCCATTACGTGCGTGAAAAGCTTGTAGCCAGCGTCACCAAGAAAACAGCCTCAGGGGGAACTCTTGTGTGACACGTTTGCCCAAATAACGATTCGTTGAACATGGCTTTGTCGTTCTGGTTTCCCGAACGCAGCGAGTACGACATAAATCGCATGAGGTGGTCGACAACGGCTTGCATATTAGACGCTTGTTTGAGGCCGTATAGGCTGCGTTTTAGGCGGCAAACTAATTCGCGGCGAGATGCGTCGGTCACGAGGTCTCCAGGCGGTTGTTCCATGTAGACGACACGGTCCATGGTCCCGTTGAGAAAGACGGTTTTGACGTCCATTTGATGACACTCAAGGTCGTAGATAGCCACCATAATGAAACGAAAACGGAGGACTTCGAGGCGTACGACAGGCGCAAAAATGTCATCATAGTCAACGCCTTCGCGTTGCAGAAAACCTTTGAAAATTAGGGGTGCTTTGTACGTGCCGTTGGGCTTGATGCGGAAAACCCATCGGCAGGGCAGGACTGTCATGGTTTTTAGGCGTGGAACAAGATCGTAGGTCTTGTTATCTTGAAGGGACTGGAATTCATCTTGGGCGGCGGCTCGCCATTTGTCGCGATCGGAACGGCGCATGGCTTCCTGCCAGTTTTTAGGATCAGAGGAATCGGAGGGTAGGCGGGCGGTGAGCAAGGCGTAGAGGTGCCATGGCGGATAAAGGGGTGGATCGAGGGGTTGGGTAGGCGCCGAGAGAGGCGGGAAAGGGTAAGGGTAAGGCGGTGGTGGAAGAGTAGCAAGATCGTCAATAGAGAGATCGACAAAGGATAAATGAGTGGCGGAGAGACAGAGTGGAGTTCCTGGTAATGTAGGCGTTGGAGTGGTGCGGCTGTGATGTTGGGCAAGTAGAGTGGTAGGCGGATGGAAAAGAGGACTGCGATATGGTAGAGCAAGTTGGAGTTCGTCGAAGGCGGCAGACAGAGAGTAAACGTAGGGTGGAGACAATTGATCAGTGGTAGGCGGTGGAGATGTTGAAGGAAGTGGAGGTGGGGGAAAAATGGTTGGATTGAGGCGAGTAGAGAGAGGCGATAGAGGTTCATGAGGTGTAATGGATTGAGTGTCGGATGCATCACGGGCGCGAAGGCGAAATGCTGCTGCAGCTTGGTTGGTGTTGATGGGTGGGAATTCGTCTTCATGGAAAACAAAGTCACGAGAGTAGAGAAGTTGATGGGAGTAGGCGTTGAGGAGTTTGTAGCCCTTGCGATCATCGGGTAGACCCACAAACATGCACTTGATAGCACGTGCGTCGAGTTTGTTCGTTTGGTTAGCCTTTTGGATATGGACGAAGGCGGTGCAGCCCAAGGTGCGGGTGTAGGCGAGGGGCGGATGACGGGAGAAAACTCGATAGTAAGGCGACTGGCCGTCATTCGAGGTGGAAGGCGAGATGTTATAGATCCAGGCGGAGTAGATAACGGCTTCGGCCCACAGAAACTTGGGGAGATTGCCGGCCAGTAGGAGCGCTCGCATCTTCATAACGAGTAAGCCAATGCGGCGTTCGGCCACAGCGTTCTGGGCAGGCGAGTAGGCGTTGGAGAATGTGGTCTTGGTAGAGTATTTGGGTCCGATAATACGACCGAGTTTCTCAAATTCCTTGGCATTGTCGGCTTGTAGATTGCCGATGTCGGTAGGCGGTAGGTATTGGAGAGTGTTGATGTCGGATTTGAAGGTAGTGATGGCTTGGAGGCGAAAGAGTTCGTAGGCGTCGTAGAGATCCTTGCGAAAGGCGAGAGGGTAGACCCAGGTAAAACGGGAGTAGTTGTCGATAAACACGACGAAGTAGAAGCTGCCACCAATCGATGGCACTGGGCACGGCCCCCAAATGTCGGTGTGGACGAGAAGGAGGAAGGAGGAGGCGCGGAAGACGGCTGCGGAGGAAAACTGTTGTCGACGGGACTTGGCGAATTCGCAAGTATCGCAGGTGAAAGATTTGAAATGGCGTGGGCGATCGGTAGAGAAGTCGGGGTGGGTCTTGACGAGGTTTTGGAGAACGGTGGAGCTTGGGTGTCCGAGGCGGTTGTGCCAAAGACGGAAGAGGGCTTCGTTAGATAGGCGTGTGGTTGAGGTGGTTGCAGTAGCCAGTGCAAGGGAAGGCGTTGTAGGTGTTGAAGTTGTAGGGGGAGGCGAAGATAGAAGAGGTTTGTTGGTAGATGGAGAGATGGGAGTGGACTGGATTGGAGTGACAACGTTGGAAGTGGGGGACAAGGCGTGTACGTAAGGAAATTTCGAAGTGCCGGATAAACAGGAAATAAGGGACGAGGCGTTGGGGTTGGGGGAGAGAGTGTGGTGGTAGGCGGTAATGAGAAATGTACAGCCTTGCTTGATGGAGACTTGAAAATAGTGTGTTTAGGCGAACGTCCAAAGTAAATAATATAGCTGTGCAATTGATCGATTACTTCGGAGTGTGCCGCGGCTTGTACGGTAGACGCAAGCATAGAAATGGAGGACTGAGTAGGCGTAGCGAAGTTGATATGGAATGGATCTGCATCACTATGGGAAGGATGAGCAGCTAGGTTAGCCTGAAATTCCATGATGGCAGCTGCAACGGTAGCAGGAGGGTGAGGCGGGGGTTGCTGGCTAGGCGTGTGTAAGGCTGCGCCGGAAAGCAGTAGAGTCCCAAGGCGTTAACTTGAGCACGCAAATAAAGGCCACGGCCGATGTCCATGAGGCAGTGCGATGGATGCGAGAAGTCGAAGTGGCAGCCGGCTTGAACAGAGTGACGAACGGTGAGAAGATTGAATTGTAAGGCGGGGCAATGTAGGGCAAAGGGTAGTGAGAGGTTCATGATGAGCAGTGAGAGTGGCCGAGGTGTCGCCAGAGTGGGTGGTAACGCCGAGGTCGATCGGCCCGTAGCCGAGAACAGGAAGTTTGCCACCGTCGCCCACAGCAAGAGTAAATGATTTTTGGACAAAGGCGGAGTCAATAAAATAGCGACGGTGAGGCGTGCAGGAGGCGGTAGCACCAGTGTCAATGATCCATTCGTTGGAGAGTTGGGGATAGAGTGAAGGTTCCAAGGGAAATGGGTTAGTATGGTTGGGGAAGTAGACCTTCAGGCATACCGTGTCCCAGGAGATTCCAACGTAGAAGGGAAAGTGAGTGGTCATTGTGGGAGGCGTAGGGTTGGCTTGGTAGTCTTTGAGTTGGAGGTTGTCTTTGATGAGTGGGATAGGCAGTGGTCGCGCTTTGGGATGGAGACCAGTTTGGTGCTTGAAGAGATGATAGGCGACACACTTGTCATAAGACAGTTGATGAAAGGCGTCGGTAGTAATGTTGGCCATTTGACCGTAGGCGACGTCATGAATGGGACCCCAGTGGTCTTCTTCATCCGAGGAGTAATAGGGACGCGCAGCGCGGGGAGGCGGAGGTGCACTGTAGGCGCCTCCACGACGGTTGAGGCGTACGGGTAACTATCGTGCAGGCGGATCAACGTAATCAGCAGGCGTGGGAGGTCGTGTAGTGAGTTTGTTAGAGTTGGGAGGCGTACGCGGAGGATGAATACGATAGGCGGGAAGTGGGGGCAGCAGAGAGTCATCCACCGTGGAAGAGGCGGGGCGAAGTGGTATGTAATTTTGTTGAGGTGGAAACTGTGGTTGAACGATGAGTGCTGTGGAGGTAGACCGGTTTTGGGCGTTAGGCGTGGATGAAGATGGAGGACGTGTCGTTGTAGCTAAGTTAGGCGGAATTGATGCCTTTGTAGTTGAGGTTTGAGAGGCGGGAGTGGGAAGGCGTTGTCGTTTCGCAGGCGGTGCCGATGGAGAGCGACGTAGAAAGGCGGAAGAAGGATGAAAGGTTTGGGACGTATTCCATCCAGCAGATGGACGTGATGGAGAAGCACGACGGGTAGCTGACGAAAGGCGAGGATAGGCGGAGGATGGAGGGGATATGGGTCGACTACAACTTGAGTCTGGGTGGGTGGGAAATGATGAGGTAGAAAGGCGTTGATGAGCTCGAGAGGAGCGGCCGGAGGAACGACCTCGCTGCGAGGAACGTGGAGGCGATCGACGAGTAGAAGTTCGGGGAGGCGGTCGAGAGTCGTCGCGATGGCACTTAGGATAGCTGCTGTTGGGACCCTGATCGTTCCCATGGTTGTCGTCGTAGTCGTCGCGGTCGCAGCGATGATGCTGTGTATGATCGTCAATTGTCTTGCGCGACGACGCGCGTTTCCGACGGCAGTGAGTGTCAACAACGTGCTTCGGAACGCCAGCACGAATGCGCTTACGACTGTCGTCATCGCGCATGGTGCGGCAATCGGGAAGGCGGTGTTCAGGCGAGCCACAATAGAAGCAGGAATTGAAAGGATAGTTGTGACAGTTTGAGTGTGCCCAACGTGGCAGTGACTCGTAAGAAGGGGCAGCAGCAGCAGTGTAAGTAGGTGGAGGTTGGGTAGTGGTAGGCGTAGCATACAAGGCGGTAGGAGGCGTAGTGTAGGTGGCAGT